CTGAGAATATAATAACAATGAACATAAAAGGGAATATGGTGAAATGGTGGAAGGGGTGAGGCAATTAGTGACAACAAATTAAATCTTTCTGTGGAGACATGGGTTTGGCTGAGGTACCAGCATGATTCTTTGCCCAAATTTTATTGCTTTCCTGTAAGTTCAGCCACCAGGATCCAGTACACCCCTGTGCCCACAAGAGGGAGGTTCTAACATCAGTAGAACCATTATCAGATTCAAGATGGGGACCTACCTAGTCAAGATGCCGTCCCATTCAGAGGGTCAGCAGTTCAGCAGAAGCACATGTGGAGGTGGCTCTGGCTGAGCCTGCAGCGTGAGGAACCCTCAAAAGACCAGCATGAAAGTCTTTTGACATGCTAGCACCCACGAGGCAGGCTTAGTGAACCCTCCAGCAGTAGTGGAAAGCTATTGCTGCGTGGCCATTGAGGATCAGCAAAAGAAGCCCTTTCAGCTGTTGAATAGGGAAGAAGCTAGATGATACCTCAATGATGCTGACAGACTCCTCACTGACCATTCTATTGCCAACAAGGTTGTAAAATCACCAGTAACAGAAAAAAGACAGCTGCAACATAAAGAGATCTGGGGGTTCTTGTGCACAAAACACAGAAAGCCAGCACACAGGTGTATAAGGTAATCGGGAAGACTAATGGAATGTTGGCCCTTATTTCAAGGGGGTTGGAGCATAAGAGTAGGGAAGTCTTAGTGCAACTGTACAAGGTGCTGGTAAGACTACATCTAGAGTAGTATGACCAGTCTTGGTCCCCTTATTTAAGAAAAGATATCCTTTCATTGGAAGAAGTTCAGAGAAAGTTCACTAGGATGATCCCTGGTATGGACGGATTGTCTTATGAGTCAAGGTTAAACAGGTTAGGACTCTACTCATTGAAGCTTAGAAGAATGAGAGGTGATCTCATTGAAACATATAGGATTCTCAGAATAAAGGGGTGCCAATTTAAGACTGCAACAAGGAGGAATTTATTCTCTTAGAGGGTCTTTGGAACTCCTTGCCACAGAAAGCCCTGGGAGCAGAGTCCTTGTGTATATTTAAGGCTGAGATACATAGATTATTGATCCATAAGGGAATCAATCGTTATGGAAAAGGGCAGGAAAGTGGACTTGAGGAATGTCATATCAACATGATCCTGTTAAATGGTAGAGCAGGCTTGAGGGGCTGAATGGTCTACTCTATTTCTGTTCCTTAGGTCTTATGGCCTTAACAGTTCATTCTCACTTCTGGGCAATGGTTGGACATCTGGCTTCCTTCTTCATGCCTTCCTCTGTTCTTTGTAGTTGTCCCCACTAGAGATAGGCATGTTGCCAATGTAACACCAAATCAGTGAATAGTGATGTATATAAGGTAAAATTAGATGAAGTAGAAGGACCCAGTCTTCAAAATAGAAAAACTGTCTAATCCATATGAAGTGTTAAAGCAAAATACTGCAGATGGTGGAAATCTGAAATAAAAATAGAAAATGCTATAGAAACCAGCAAGTTCAGCAGCATCTGTGTTAAGGGATGGAAGTTTAAAAATAGGGAAGTTTTGTTACAACTCTACAGGATGTTGTTGAGGCCACACTTGGAATACTGTGTACAAATTTGTTTCCTATATTTAAGAAAAGATATAATGGCAGTGGAGAGAGAGCAAAAGGATTCACTAGGCTGATTCACTAGGCTGAAGGAGTTCACTCAAGAACTGCTAAACAGGTAGAGTATTCATTCACTAGCGTGTTTTCTTACTCTGAGATTATGCCCTGTGGTTCTAAACTTTCCAACAAAGAAAACAACCTTTCTTTATCAACCCTATCCACATCTAAAGTCCACCCTCAGTCTTCTAAACACCAAACGTTACAGGCTATAGAACTCAGCCTCTCTTCATAAAACACTCCCTCCATACCTGGCATCAACCTTTTGAACTTTCTCTGGACTGCCTCTGATGCCACTATATCTTTTCTTTGATAAGGAGTCAAAAGTATTCATAGTATTCTAGTTGTAGTCTGACTAGTACCTTGTATTGTTTTATTAAAATCTCCCTACTTTTATACTGTATTCCCTTTGAAATAAAGGCCAGCATTTATTTACCTTCTCTCTTACCCACTGAATTTAATTTATTAGTTTTTTATGCACTGTAATGTTCTATGTTCTATGTTCTATGGATGCGGATTCCCAAATCTCTCTGTTCTGTAGCTTTCTGCAGTTTTGCTCCATTTAAATAACTATTCAGCTCCTCTTAGTTTCTTACAACTTCCAATCCTAGACCATTTCTTGCTATCGTACTTATTCTATCCACACTAACAATGCTATCCCACCACCCTTTCCCTCTTGCCTGTCCTTTAGAAAAAGCAGTCACCTCTGAATATTTAGTTACCAGCTTTGATCTTCATGTAACTATGTCTCTGTAATGACTACAAGATCATGCCCTAAATTTGCACTGTCAATGTATTTTTTTCTGTACAACGCGCATTAATTTTATCTTTGAACCAATTTTCCCCCTTTGATCCTATTTATTGCTGTTTTTCTATTTTTGTACACATTGTCCCTTCCTGTCCACTCTAAATGTCATGCAAATAGCTATCTTGTAATGCTGCCATATGCCCTTGCTTTTTAAGCCTATATTTCTCCTCTCTCAAACTGTCCTCCCTCTAATTAGTTTGCAGTCATGTCTACAGCCCCAGCTATTCCATCTGCCAAGACTTCGTTGCCCAGCACATTCCTCATAGTATCATTACCTTAAAGCTAGGAGACTAACATTGGTTTAATTAAGATTGCAGAACATGCCCAGAGGAACACCAGGTATATGTAAAACTCAGGTGCCAATCTGGTGAAGCTGCAACACAAGATTACATTCTTGACAAGCATTTGATCATGTTTGCTGCACAATTGAAGCAGTGTACAATATATAGAGCTAAGCATAAAGATCAGATCATAGTTCTGCATCCTGCCACATTAATGGAGAATAGTGGTGGACAATTTAAAAGCTAAGGAGGCTTTACGAATATTCTCAATCTCAATGGTGGGGCAACCCAGCACATAACTGGAGAAACATAGCTGACTGTATTTGAAGCAGGAAAAAACAGCCCACTTGATCAAAGTTCCATCCACCACATTAACTCATCATTCACTCCATTACTGGTACACAGTGTCACTAATGTGTGTCATCTGTAGACGCACAGAACATTCCAAGCCTATAACTTCTACCATCTAGAAGGATGACAGCAGAAAATGCATGGGAATACCACTAACTGTACATTTCTGTCCAATCCACACACACCATTCTGACTCAGAAATCTATCCATTTCTTCACTATAGCGGTGTCAGTTCCTAACAGCACTGGGAACAACATGGACTTTTATTTAATTCATTCATGGAATGTGGGACATGGGTGTAACTGGCTGAGCTAACATTTATTGCACATCCTTAGTTGCCTTTCAGAAGGTGATAGTGAGCTGCCTTCTAGAACCGCTGCAGTCCATGTGCCGTGGATGGACCCACAATGTTATCAGATAATTCCAGGATTTTGACTCGGTAACACTGAAAGAACAGTGTTGTATTTCTGAGTCAAAATGGTGAGTGGCCCTTGAGGGGAAATTGCAGGTGGTGGTATCTGCTGCCTTTGTCCTTCTAGATGGTTGCGGTCATGGATTTGGAAAGTGCTGTCGAAGGATCTTTGGTGAATTTCTGCAATGCATTCTCACTGTTGCTAATGAACTTCAGTTTGTGAGTGTGGTACCAAACAAGCAGGCTTCTTTGGCCTGGATGGTATAAAGCTTCTTGAGTTGTTGGAACTGCTCTCATCCAGGCAAATGGGGAGTATTCCATCACACACTCATACATGGTGGACAGGCTTTGGGGAGTCAGGAGGTGAGTTATTTGTATCAGTATTCTTAGTCTCTGGCCTGCTCTTGTAGCCCCTGTGTTTATAAGGCAAGTCCAGTTCATTTTCTAGTCAGTGGTGATCCCAGTTTGGATTGTGGGGACTCAGTGATGATAATGTCTTTGAATACCAAGGTGTGATGGTTATATTGTCTTTTATTGGGAATGGTCAAGGCCTGACATTTATAGGTTGCAAATGTTACTTACCACTTTTCAACCCAAGCGTAGATGTTGTCTGAAAGTTAGACCTCTGTAGTTCAAGAAAATGGCTCACTGTTGCTTTCTTAGTGATAATTAGGTGTACATAATAAAAGCTTACATAGCCAGTGATGCTCGCATTCCATGAATTAATTCAAAATATAGAATTGCAGGCATGATATGAGGATAATGTGTGATGAGAGGTGAAGAGCTTTGGGAACTTTTGGTCCAAACTCACCTATTCAGCCTTATTCAGTTTTTTAAACAATTTTTGTGGAGCTCAAAGAGCTTCCGTGCTCCTGTCAATCCCACATAGTGTTATCCCCTCCAAAACACCACGTCTTCTCTCCTTTCAATTAAATACTGAAGTTTAATCCACAAAAGAGCCACTGGTTTCCCATCAACTCCATCCACACAACAAATCATCTGTCAAAGTCAACATACATGAACAGCTCTTTGAGAATGTTTTAATAGAAGTTTGACTGTCAAAATTGGTAAGGCCTCCAAAGTAATTTATAAAGCAAGTAGTGGACATATTCCACACAACAATCAATTTCCAAGTTTGTAGTGACTGCGACAAAGTTAGCAAACTCACCAAACCCAATCTCACAAAATGCAAAAGGTCATACTGAAACAATGTGGCAATACTGGAGATGCAAAGCCACAGAGAAGAAAGAATTGGAAGTAGAGAAGGATGTACTGTACAAATTACATTTTGCAAATTACTTTTCCAAACTTTAAGGGTTCCAGATACTGAAAACCATGCAGGTTGTGCATCATGTATGTTGATCTATGCAACCAAATATCTGCTATTTATTCCTGAGTACTAAATTGTAACAGTTCCCCAAAGCACGTAGCTGTTGAAATGTTCAGACGTGCCCAACATGTGAATGAAATTGTCTGTTTCTTTTCAGGTACGTTCTGCTGCAAGGAAGAGATTACATCGATGGCAAGACAATCATACTCTTCGAGTTCGAGTTGCCCGGGCTATGTCAATACCAACCTCACCCACAAGAATCAGTTTTCACAGCATAAAACAGACAACTGGTGTCTGACCCCAGGAGACGGAGCATTCTTTTCTTTGAGTTTTTCACAATGTTTTCCTTCAATACTGAGGTGATTTGTTTATTTGTGGATTGCTGTGCACATTTAAAACATGCAACGGTGAACAGTAGGAACCAAGGATGCAAGGCCCACCCCATCAAAATGAAACTGCTCTCGAGGAGTGGAACAAACTTTAATTTTCCTTCTAACATGCAGCATCAACATGGAAAAGTAGGAATTGTGAGTCTGCAGTAATCTCGATCATGTGCAGAACAGAGATGCTGTTTGCACCTCTTGTCTATAGTCAAAGTTTGGCATGGGGGAATGTCACAACTTCAAGGCAAGACTAAAAGTTGTCTCAGAGCTTTATTCCATGGCTTTCATCTTCTATCACCGATCTCTGTACAAATACCTAATTTCCTTCTGGAAAACCGTTTTGAATTGTCACATGGGAATCTATAGAATAAGGAGTCAGAATATAACAAATGTTGACTTCCAATATTGCCAGCAAGACCTTTCAAGGTTCAAAACATCAATCTAGCTTGAAAGAAGCTTTGATGGAATGAAGGCCTGTTCCAACCTCCACGCCTTACAACCAATTCTATCTGTGCTGCCTATCGAGTGTAGTAAACCTCATATGTACAAAGGACGTCTAATCTGTCAAACGACATGTATCCAGCAGTGACAAACAACAGAACTCTGTCTGTTGTCTACGGGGCTAAAACAATTTAGAGTTAAATCACTGGTCCAGAATCAGTGTAGATTGAAAATGAATGGATCATTAGGTTCTGTGAATCAAGAAAGAAGTCATTATTCTGCAGTGCTAACTAGAACATATCTTGCTCAAACAATAGAAACGAAGGCAGACAATTTCTAATCTATTTAATGAGTTTTATTTTGCTGAATAGTGAAATACTAAGGACCATGGTTGGTTAATAATCAATTAACCCAATGGAGTGAATGTTTGGAATTGACTTCTTGATATTTTTCTATGTTTCAAAACATATGATTACTCGATCTTCAGCCCTGGAACATTCATTACATTGGAGATGGTTATCTGAATTGATCCATAATCTGCATATTTAATATTGAAGCCTAACCAGGACTATCAAACACTGATTACCAGCAACTTGGAAGATACACGAAGAGACCACACCAAGGGGATTACCTCCTAGTGGCAGCTAACAAGATACAGAAAAATAAAAGAATCACTCGGCTGTTCAGTTATTCACCACTGAAGTATTCTTATCAAGACAATTGTTATGTGAGCTGTCATTTCCTATCTGCAGTTAGCATTTTGGAGTGAATTATCTAAGGCAGTACTGAAGTGTTGAAAGTGGCTTGTTTCATATGTAATGTTAACAATCATAACAATATTCACACCAAAAGTCAGGATATTTAGCCAGCATTCTCTTATATTTACAGCTAATTTTCATGAAGCACAGATGAATGTTGGAAGGGTTGACACTGAGTGCACTTTGATCATGGCATGTTAAGGATTAACATGATTCATCATCCATCTACACCACATATTCAGTGATCGTTGTGGAAATTGAAGCTAATTTAAATAGCTCAGTGCAACTTTTTAAGTTGCAAACAATCTTACCCTACATCCAGATTGTGTTTAAGGTTTGTCACCTTATCTCCAATTCTAACTTTCTTTCATAGGATTTCAAACTGCTTTTAATCAGCCTTCCCTTTCTTCACCAGTCTACTGGCAAATTAAATAGCTAAGGTTTGGATTTCCTTTTCTTTACTTTTGTTTACTCATTATTAACTGACCAACATTAATCTTACAATCAACCCAGCAGAAACAAGTCAGTCATTGTAGGATCTTGCAATGTACAAAGAGGTTTGTCTGTACAAAAGGGTCCACAGTTTAATAGTAAATTATTGCACCCGAAATATTTTGGCATAACCTGAAAATGTGTCAAGGAGCTGTAGAAATGTAAGTTCTCGTTTTTCAATATGTGGCACAATTAGCCTTCACCTTGGCTTCTCAAGTAAAGGAAGGCCAAATCTGTTCAGCTAACCAAATGCCTTACAAAGACAGAATGTCAATGTCCCATGCCTGGGGGTTTGGGATTGTGTATATTTGTTTGTGTGGCGGGAGGGCAGTTTCTGAGACTGTTAGTCTTGCCCATCCTTTCCAGAAATAGGAAAAGGTCAATGTTCTGCTTGATGGACCTTGAGTAGTCACCACCCTTTTCCACACATGCTAGAAAAACACTGTAGTTAATGGTGTGCTATAAAAATACAATGAACGTTTAAAAAGTCTCATCTTCACTACTTAAAGTCATGAATCTATTACATAGAGTTTAAAGTACAGAAATAGATCATTTAATCTAACTAGTGCATACGCTGTTTGTGCTCAACTCAAGTCTCCTCCCATCCTTTGTCAATTATTTCTATCAGTGTAATCCATTGTTCGCTACTGTCTCAAACCCTTCGCTAGTATTTCCCTGACTGCAGCTGTACGATTCACATCAACCTCTCTCTGTGATAGCAAGTTCTACATCCTCATCACTTTCTGAGTAAAGAAGTTTCTCCCAAACTCTTAACTGGATTTTTATGTATCTGCTTTATTCTGATGGCCCCTAATTTTGATCTTTTCCCAAAGTATTGGAGTCACAAACTTATGGATGAAATATAAGCCATGAAATGTATTTGTTAGCAGTTTATCGTGATTTTATTGAGATGTCCATACCATTTAATGTTGCCTTGCTGAATTTTTTAAGAGGTCAGAGACAGCATGTTGTAGATAAATGCCACAAGTGACCCTTGGACATATTAATTTGAACCCAAAACTCAGGAAGCGCAGTCCTATTTGTGTTAATATTTTATATTTTGAACTTGGTGGGAACTACAGGGCTGTTCTCCATGCTGAATAAAGAGCTGGATGAATCCAAATCATCAAGTTTCATTAGCACTATAGGACTTTATTAGGTAAGAATAACAAGGAATATGGAGCAAATGAATATATTAAGTCGAAGTGTAGACTAACCATGGTCTATCAGAAAGACATAATTGCTTTGGAGGTGGTTTGAGTTCTCTTGGTACAACAACAACATTTATTTATATAGCTCTTATGATATGCCCATGGTGCACCATAGGATCATTATACATAAACAAAATATGGCATCACACGTGGAGATATTAGAGCAGATAACCAAAACCTTGGTCAGAAAGGAACATCTGAAAGGGGTAAAGAAAAGTTCAGAGGCAGCATTTTTTAGATAAAAAAAATCCAATGCTTTAAACCCAGGCAGCTGAAGCTCTGACCACCAATGCTGGACCAATTAAAATTGGTGATGATCGAGAGGCAAAATTAGATGAGAGTAGACATCTCATAGGGTTGTGCAGTTGGAGCAGGTTACAAAGATAGAGTGGTCAAAGTTATGGATGTTTTAAAATTAGACGGTTACTTAACCGAGAGCACTAAATGTCAATGGGACTTGGTGCAAGTTTGACTTTTGAATAATTACAAGTTTACAGATCGTAATAACAAAGTCACCAATGAACAGCAGTCAAGCTGAAGCAGGGACAGAGTGGTGGCATGGATATGTGGTCAGAGGCTTATTTATAGATCAACTGTCACACCAAGGGAGTGAACAGTCTATTTCAGCCTCAGATAATGGCCACAGAAATGAAGAAGTCAATCAATAGGCAACTAAGTTTGCAATGGGGACCAAAGAAAATGGCCTGGATTTTATGGACTTTCTGCCAATGGTAGGGGCCACACAAAGTATAATAGATTGTTCGCCCACTGCCTTCCAACTCACCTTTAACCAAGTATTTATGGTACAGTGGGTGGGTAAGGCACCTGCTAGCTTATCCATTCTTAGCCCTTTTGAGGCCCTTAACTGCACATTTAAGTGGCAAATAAAGGGTTATTTCTGCATCTGCCACTGTAATATATTTTGTAGTAGAGGGCAAATAAGAGTGGGCAGGTCACTTTTTCACCAACTCTGGTTGCAGGCTTTGGAGGCAGACTGTCAAAATGGTATTCCCTATCCCTTTTGTGGCTGACTTCCTGACATTTACAATCTTATTATCCACCCCTAGCCCCCAACCCTAGTTTGTCCAATTCCCTCCCTGCCCAAACGTCCCAGATTTATCTGAGACTGGGATGCATGATGCTTTCTTTGTGGAGTTGCTTGCAGTCTTGACAGTGCCCGACACTGAGTTCTGCCTGAAAGATCTCTTGAGGTGGATGACCCACTCTGCTGGTTATGGCCACCCAAAAGGGCAGTGATACCACATGGTGGGACATTGTTGTTAGTCAGTCAGATCGCAGCTAACCTCTCTAATGGAAGAGGTGGCGAGCAATTCTCAATTTCCCAACCCCGCTTCCCCACCTTCCACTGGAAAATTCACCCCAGTGACTTTTGTACTTTAGTGTTCTCCGTATTCAATTGGAGGAAACCTCTGGTTATTCAGTACTGGATATTGCAGAAGCAATCTGACAAACTAGATACTGTGGAGGAATTGTGAGGGGTGGTGACAAGGGAGAGCTCGATGTTGCCAGTATACACATGCAAACTGACACTGTGTTCTTAGGTAATGTGGCCGAAGGTCAGCATATCGATGAGAAATAGGAATCCAGTTTTGGAACACAAGAGGTAACAATACAGGAGTGACAAGACAAACCATTGCAGGTGATAGACAAGAATGGAATCAGGTGAGAACAGTCCCATACGGCTGGACAACAGTGAAAAGATAAAATCCGAAAGAACTGTGGATGCTGTAAGTCAGAAACAAAACCAGAAATTGCTAGAAAAGTTCAGCAGGTCTGGCAGCATCTGTGGAGAGAAATCAGAGTTAATGTTACAGGTTGAGTGACCCTTCCTCAGAAATGAAGAGTTGAATAGTAGAAAGACTGGGGTGGCACAGTGGCTCAGTGGTTAGAGCTGTTGTTCACAGTGCCAACAATCTGGTTCAACCCTGGGTGACAGTTTATGTCGAGTTTGTACATTCTCCCCATGTCTGAGTGGATTTCCACTGAGTACTT